AGAGAGAAAGAAAGTGGTGGCTAGGGTTTGTGAGAAATAATTTCTGCAGAGTTTCAGTAGGAATTCAGACGTACCTTGACCTTTGTGCGTAGCCAAAATTTTAAAATGGTCTCCGAGATTAGGGTTTCAGAGGAATAATTCCATAGATGGAAGGGAATTATTCCTCCCCTATTTGGAATTGATTTGATTAATTAGGGATTTGATTTATTATGGTAAATCAAATCCCTAATCGTGGTAGGTATCAGATCAAATCCTAATTTAATTAGGTAACTCCTCATTTAATTGGGAATTGGGAATTGGGGTAGGAATCAAATCAATTCCCAACTTAATTAGGTAATTCTCAATTTAATTGGGTAACTCCCAATTAAATTGAGTAACTCCCAATTAGGTTGAGTAATTCCCAATTAGGTCAAATAATCCCCAAATGGAAGGAATTATTTGACCTAGGGTATGATTTAATTCGGTTCCCACACATTCTGTGTCATTCTTGTGAAGATCTTGTGAAGATGCTTTGTCATCAAATTGCAGAAAATAATTTGATTCACGGTTGATTTTTTTTTTACATATAAATTTTACCAGAAACAAACTTTCATTCAAGGAAAAAGAAAGAGTACAGAAACTAGAGAACAACATGTCTTCCTGCCCATAAGACCCGACTAGAAATCTTTATGAAATTTAAAACATTGCCAAAAAAAACATTCAAAACAGAACAGACTCTAAGACACTACAGCTTTCCAACATATTAATGGTTGGATCTGAATAAATTTTTTGAATGCTTATTCTTGTGTCTTTAATACAAGATTATTTCTGACTTTCTTTTTGGTCTTTTTTTAGGATGGAAACTGAAGGACGTTAATAATTCAGAACCCATTCCCGAAACTAATAATGAACCTGTAAAAGTAGTCGTTGCTGATAACCTCCAGATATAGGTTTCAACTCTGTAAAAACTTGTGTGTCTTTATCAACACCTCATTCATTGCATGATACCTATCTTTTTTTTATACAGGTTTTGCTTGCTTTTGCACATTCTGATATAGTTAGGTATTTTATTTCCAATTTGTTCTTACGAAACAAATCAGAGGTGGTGATCTTGGGGATCTTAGCTAGGACTTGAACAGTATCACACTAACAAAGATATCTGAACTTGGTTGTACAACCAGAATTTCGAGATATGACTTTTGTTTTATTTTGTTTTCTTGTTAATATTTGTAATGCAGTCTTGCATCTATCAAACACAACCTCGTTAGAATGTATTCATTTTCTAAATCATCCCTAGAAATCAATAGTTTGGCAAAGGAACAAATTGACTGAGTCCTTTCCATTTTCCCATTCATCATAGCTATTAGCTTGTGCTCTGCATTCCAGCAGTGTCACGGAATTTGCATCTATTTCATGGTTTAGATTGTGTTGGTAAATTCTGAGAAATTAAAAGTACTCTATGTCATGAGTTTCTTTGGAACTGTACTTATTTCTAAAAATATCATGGTTCCGTATTGGATGAATTGTCAGGTATCAAAGCGATCAGCAGCCTAGCACATGGGGTTGATTTTACAACTTGAATATAAAAAATTAGCCAATAATCAACATTTTAACACTCGGCTGTTTCAATGCACAAGCATATTCGTTTTGCATTTTGTTGATTCTTTAGGTATCATATTTAACTTTTTCTAACACTTTGGACTTCACTGCAAAACGGACTCATTTATTTTGAATTTTGTCTCCTTCCCTAGGAAAGAATGAGGCTCTTAACAAATTTTATTTGTTGCTTCGGTTATACATTGGTGCTCTGGGGTTCCAACTTGCAACCTCCTTGATGCTTTCTAAAGCATTATATTTTTGCGTAACAGAGGATGTCAAGGATGATAATTCAAATACGTTATTAAGAGTAAATGAGGAATCCCTTTTTCGAATTATGCTAATTTTCTGAACAATGAACTTACTGGACTTTCCTCCCATGATAACACGTGTGTTTGGACTTGGATGCAAATTACATTATCTGTTCCCTTCATGCCTTCCTGCGTGGGTATTTTCTGCATTGTGAAGAAACATACAAGTTACAAATAGTACTTAGTAAATGAATATTTGCCATTCTAAAAGGTTTCTAGTCAGGTGAATTGAAGGGTTTTTATTTTGACTCTAGGTTTTCTTTCCTTTTCTCTGTATAGAATGTCAAGCTGGTCTTATCTATGTCAGCAAGTAACTTTTTTTTTTTTGGTCGAAATGTCAGCGAGTAACTTTAATATGGTACGTTTCCTCTCAAATTCTTCTCTGCTATGGCAAGGCTTGGTGAGTCAAGGATGACAAACCCTGAATGAATGTAAATTTGTGGTTTCTTCTGAGTCAAGGATAGAGCGTTATATGCATATAGATTGATACCATTTAATGTCTATGTTATATTGATATCATTATATGCATCATAAATTTGTTGACTACTATTGAAGCTTTTCATTTTGTTGGTTTTAGAGAGCAGTGAAAGTAGGGTTGAGTTATGGTTGTTGTCAAAGCAATCATCATCTCTGGTTGTAAAGGTTTTTCTGGTGTTAAAAGAAAATAGAAGTTGCTTTTGGGGTTGATACCTTTCTGCTCGTATGTGTCTTGGAAAAGAAGCGTGAATTCTGTGGAACAATTTTGAGGGTATTGCAAGACCCATAGTTATGTTGTGACAATAAGGAAAGAAAAGTATAACAAAGTTTATCACCCCATTTATAAGGCTTTTTCCAATTATAACTGTTGAAGTGATGTGTGTGGCGGTATAAACCTTAGAACTTTACGTTCAGCTTTCATATATAAATATGTAAAATATTGCTAAGTTTGATGATTGCTAGCTACAATTTGTTATTTATCTCGTTTGTTCCTGTCTCTTTTCTTTCTTTATATATATATATATATATATATATATATATATGTAGTTTCGTTGTCTGAAAGAATCAGTTAAAACTCATGCTCCTTTTAAGCTTTGACAAAATCAGACCAAATATAGCGTGGTAGTGATAGGACAAACTAATTTCACACTTCACTCTTGATTTAGTTTGCCAAATGTTAGATCTGTTGGTACACTCTGTTAACTTCTCTAGTCGTTGTACCATGTTCTAATATGTGGGTTCATCAAGATTAGTTATTATTTATTCCTTGTAATTGCATTTGATTTCAAGGTATTTTGCTCTTTCAGCTGTCTGGGTTGCAACTGAAAATCATCTTCGAAATAATATCTTCACCGTACGAGGATGCCCAATTATGTACTTTACATCTTTGCGTGACAACCTGCTAATGTATGATGGGGATAGAACAGAGGACACCATTAACTTTCTTCAGAATAATTGGTATAAGATTTCCAAACCAGACTCAGTAAAGGATGAGATATGATTATGGTACGTTCTAGACTTTTGTCTTTTACCGGAACTAATGATATCTATCTACATTGCTGCTGATTACTTTTTTCTGCTATAGTAAAAAAAAAAAGAAAAAAAAAAGAAATTAAATGTTGTTACTTAAGTCTCTGTTGCACATTGTCAAAATTTTATTACTCTCTCTGTATGTTAAAAATCTGTACATAAATCCATATCTATCTCGTGTGGCGACTGGAATCACACAGCACTAGGTATGTATGTGGAGAGTAAAACTTGTACTACTGAAATACTACTACATAATACTAACATGGTGTGTTCAACCACTCATGGAAAGTAATTTATCAAATTTTATTTTTTTTCATTTCTGATACACAACAAACATTAAAAATGCAAAATAAAGCTTCAAATTTGATAAAATGTTAATGAATGGCTTCCTATGAATGGTTAGACATTCTACGTCAGCGTGATGAAGTGGTATGACAGTCGCACGGTCTATAAGTACCAAGTTAAATTTGTAGAGGTCTTCTTGGAAAAACCAAACAAGTCAAACTAGAAGAACAGTAACTGGGAGGGACAGAGACAGAGAGATTGTTGGCCTTTTTTGTTAAAAGTTTAGGACAAGAAGCATTTCTATTACTTGAAAGGTATGGAAATTGGAGTTAGGAATCCTAGGAGTGCTGGTGGTGTGTTGGTACTCAAAGGATTAGCAAGCCCAATTATTTTAAAAGCAATTCTCAGGTGCAACTGTGATGAACAAGACTGGAATTGCTTTTAAAATAATTGGAGTCAGATATTATGATTAGACTTTCAAATGGTTTCATATCAGGAGCGACAACCAAGGAATAGGCAGTGCTGAAATTATTCTCAAAGTAAATTGAACATAAAGTAGAAAGGAAACATAAACCGAAAATAAAAGCAAAATAAAGGTCTCTATCAGAAGAACTCGAAATAACGAAGATGGGGCTGATGAGTCCATGACACCCGATTGATGAAAATGGGCTCTGGTCACCCAGTCGGTTGCGTCAATTGTTCATTCCCCGTAGCTACTAGTGTAGTAACTGCATGAATAAAAATAATTAGATAAGACATATATTATATATATATATATATATTTGACAGTTGCATCGACTATATTTCGTAGCTGTTGTTAATTAGGTTGATCAGGCCCCTCCATTCCGGCCATTGCTTCATACATTACACCTCTTGACACAACTTTTTGCTTTCTTCTTTAAACCCTTTTGGATTTTGTGGGTTGGTTGGTCCTAACTTCTAAGTACCTCCAACTTTTGATGGATCATAGGCTAAGATGAATTGCCACGGCTGCTGGCGTCCTCCTTTTTGCCCCAGTCATGAAGCCTCAAGTGCAACTCAGCAGCAGCAATGAAGAAATGGACGGCCTGGATTGGAGTCAGAATATGTGTGATGGCTTTAAGCGTTTTTAGCCGTAGACTGTCAGCCCTCTGCAAAATCTCCTCCAAACCTCGCTCCTTGGATGCCAGGACAGACTCAACTCGGTCCGCTTCAACTTCATGCTCATGACCACCATTAGCGCTCATCAACTCGGTAATCACGTGTGACAACTCGACCGTTGACGTGTCTGCCACTGACTCCTGCTGTTTGGCCATTTTCTCTGTGATGTCCCTCTCCTCCTTAACAGTCCTCCTCTGCAAATGGTCCACCTGCATGAGCTGATGCTGTGAGATATCCGCCAAGTCACCTGTACCAAGACCTTCAATCAACTCTGTGAGTCGAGCCTCGAGTTGCAAGCCAGACTTGGAGTAAAAGAGATGAAAAGTCATGCTTGGTCGCCACCCACCAATCCAAAGGAAGGCATCCTCTAGGGAGGTTGTCCAGGAGGGCGAAAGCATCCTGAGAACGTCTTGCTTGACCCATCTGGACTTGGCCTCATAGTATTGCTCATAATGCTTCACCACACGCTCAACCAGTGTTCTTAAACTTGTATTAGTATTAGCTGCAGCAGTAGTGGTGGGGTTGCCATTATAGAGGTTGTTTTTGGAGGCAATGATGAGGTCTTGGAGATGTTGGTTTTGTTCAGCAAGCCAGCACTCAAAGAAATTGTGGAAACTCTCGTGCTCAACATCAAAAATGGTGTTTGTCATGGCTACCTCTGTAGCAGCTAATACAAAACAGACCCTACTACTTTTGTGTTATATATGTGTGTGTGTGTGTGTGTATGAATGGACGAAACCCAGAGTCCCAGGTTTTATTGTGTAATGTTTTTATTTTATACAGGGAAAAGGTTGGTTGGCAAGTAGGTCATGCGAAGAGGTTATGGTTCATTGTACATTATTTATTTACTTCGTACCCAAGTTTCAGAAACGAAGGTGGGTCAAGTTGATGAAGCAGCAGAGAATTCCAAGCTTAGGAACTGTCAGCCTAGAATACCGAGATAGATATTTTGGATTTGCTTTGGCAGCGTTTGTCGTTTTCTTTGAAGGAAACTAGTAAACTCGTAAATAGAGAAGCTCATAGGCGTCATGTCGTACATATCCAATATCCCATGCATCAAGTTCGTTCATTTCATGCCTGTTGATTGATATTTGTTTTTTACCCAAAAAAAAAGTCACATAGTTTGTTTGTAGGTCCTGTGGGCGCTCTGCTTTCACGCACTACAAGTTGTATTGTGACTCTCTCACCATAAATAACTCAGTACGGTGTGCGCACACAAGCTTGTCTACAAAATATCTCATAAATATATGTATAAATACAACTGTGCTCCTCATTTAATAATCCAATTTTCTTATTCCTTTTTCTTATTTAATTTTTACTTTTGAGTACAAATGATAGCTTAAATTATAAGGGAGGGGAATTTTTCACACATACACAACTATAATGTTGTGATGATTTGACCCTAAGACTTCTAGTCTGCAAGTCAAGATCCTTTTCCACTAGACTAGATTCCGTTGGTATTTTATTTTTACTTTTGGGTAAACTATAGATAACCCATAAACTATTGCCTTATTTTTTAAATTTGTTTATTGATGATTAACAAACACATACGCAAACACAAAGATACCTCATAAATTGCCCCCACCATCAATGGGTCTGTTAAATATTTTGTTTGCCTCACGCCACTTGTATCCTAATTATTCAATTTTTCAAATTCGATGAGAGGTCTAATGGGAGGAGAGGAGCATGCTAGGATCTTGGGGAGTTGTGGAGGAGTGGAAGCGCCGCCACGAGGAAGTCACATAAATTGAATATGGGTCATCTGATAGAAATGTTGAAAGATGTCGACCAAGTCACTTTTATTTTTCATCTCATATAACATCATAAGAGTGCAATCATTCACAAATAACACAAACCAGCGAACTCTCAAGACTATAGAAATAGGGGAAGGTCCCCAAACATCAGAATGAATTAAATCAAAGGACATAAGCCGTTTATTACAACTCGAGGGACATGACATTGGAAAGCAGACTCGTTGACACCACTAAATAATGCAGGAAACAAATGTCGTAAATATCCAAAGGAGGCATGACCAAATCGGCAATGTAACAACCAAATCCGGTGATGATGAGAAGTTTCGGTGCTAACAACACGAAGAATCGACTAGTTGCCACGTCATCCACATAATAAAACCCTCCCTTTTTAGTACCACAACCAAAGATCTCCTAAGTCTGGATATCCTGTAGTAAGACAAAAGACGGATACATCAGTACAAAGCAATTTAACTGCTCCGTAACTTGTGGTACAGATAATAAATTACTAGACAAAGATGGAACCGGTAACACTTTGTCCAATGGTAAAGCAAGTGTCAAGAGTATAGAACTAGCCCCCATGACAAGAGGAGCAGTACTATTAGCAATGAGGCATAAAAGTAGTAGAGAATAAAGTAGAATTATACGTAATATGGTCAGTAACTTCTTAATCAATAATCCAATGTGTATCACGTGTATCATGGGCATGGAAAGCCCTGCCAAAGTTACTTGGATGTAGCATAGGTGCAAGAGGTGTTGGAGTGCTTGAGACTGCTGTCACTGCCAAAGCAGGAGTAGCAGTAAGGTGGTCATGCCCAGTGGTGACGTCAGCCATAGAAATGACAACATCTGCCACATGAGCTTTGCCGCCCAATTGTTCCTTTTTTAAATGCCTCCATTCTTTCTCCCAATCTGGTACTCCGTGTAATGCCCAGCAAGTATCGATAGTAAGTGTGCTTTCACTACAGTGATCACACTTCAGTTTGTCTTTTTCTACAGAAGTCAAGTGACGATGCAGAACGACAAAAGAGCAAGACCATGTAGGCCAAGAAACCATAGCAATGTTTTTGGAAGCAAACACAATAGTAGGTTCCCCAATCTTGGTGCCGAATCCAAGCATAGTATTCTGGCGTTGAGCCTCTCGACAGACCATTAAAAAGACATTTTCAATACTTGGAACTTTATCACTCTGTAGAATATTACTGCTAACCTTGTCATAAGAATCGTCAAGGCCAGCCCAAAAATCATACACACAATCTACCATAACAGCAGCCTAAAAAATCTTCATATTATCAGTACACTTCATTTGAAAAGGGCATCTCTTGTCTAATTCAAGCCAGATTGCCTTAAGTTCGGCGAAATAGGTAGAGACAAGACGACCCTATTGCTTGAGACGGGTAGCCTATCACAGCAATTCATAAAGCTGGGATATGTCAGAGCCATCATAAAACATCACATCTTATTAACAGCATCCCAAATTTCTTTAGCAGTAGGTAGAGTATGAAACATTTTAACAAACTTTCCCACTGGGCGTGCCAAATTGTTCACCCGTTTTGCGTTTATTCCTATGAAGGAAGGGCAAAGTTCCCTATTGCCTTGAGAACCATAGACTGGTCAACAAGTCAGCTTTCTTTGGTGTACGAGCGTGCCACTGCTAGTAATAAAAATTCTAGCAGACTTAGTTTGGAATGGATAACTTGCGCCCCAAGTTACTGATTTCTGCAAACAAACGATTGTGAATTTGGGTGAGGAATATCTCCCAAGTAAGTTCTTTTCTTGCCTCAGACTGGTGAGGACTTTAACAATTTATCTCAGTATAAAGAGGTTGTTCTTGCCAGAATGGTTGATGGAATTTAAACTGTTTTCAGGCGGAACTGCCTTTTACAAAATTATAAAAATAAATACCAACGCTAGAAAGATAAAAAGATAGCTGGAACTCCATTTCTGCCTGGATGGGAGGCTCTGTTCTGGGCTGGACTGGAAATGCCTAGGCTGGACTGGAGA